TCATGTAATTTTTTTATATGTTGAGTATTTGGACATTAGGCTAGTTATTTTTTGTTTTTAAAGAGTTAGCGAAAAGAGTTAGAGGACGATCCTAGTTTCTCCCAGGCACGGTAACAGAGGTGCCGCTCACCTCCTCTCATGATGGCTCCTCATCTCCGGATCTCCACCGCAAGCTCCTCTTGATTGTCTCTGCTTCATCTCTTTCTCTTCAACCTTCCATCACCGGCGACGAGTTATGTTTTCTCCGCGTTTACCAACTGTGATTTCCAATGGCTTCCAACTTCTCCGTCGTGATGAGCTCAGCTTCTTCATCGTCTCCCCTCAGCTGCTATCACAAGGTAAATCGTCTTCATCTCTTTGGATTTTGAATTTGACGGTGGATCCGCCGCCTCTTCCAGATCCGCCGACTCCTCCGGATATGCACCCTTTCGGTCAGTTACTAGCCACCCGTGAGGCATCCTGTAGATCCGTCGGTTTACCTTTTGTTGGTATCGAGCCCACAACACCGAAGACTTTTCCCAGCGAGATATGTCTCGATCATCAGACATGGGATTCCGGCAAGATGCTTCTCTGATCGTCCATATCGCCTACACCGGATCCTCTGCCTTATCGATCTGTGGTTTCTATCTCGTGGCTCTTGTTTGGCTTCCCCAAGATGGTCTCAAATTCGTATATGAGTTTGCTAGTTCCAAAGTTGGGTTGGCCTCCAAATCGCGAGGGCATGTGATTATGTTCACGACTCTCCTCTCTTTGGTGGAATAGCTCTTGTGTGTGTTGCTGTAAACAAGAGTGTATCGGGTTCTCTTGTTGTTTCTTTCGCCTTAGTGCGACTCTCTTCTATAGTATGTACTCCCTGTTTCAGGGTCGATTTGGACTGTCTAGTCTTGGCCAGGTTTGGTCTATGCTCTCTACTCTCTTTATCTCATGTAGCTAGGACTCTTCGGTACTATGAGATGAGTATTGGATTAGTTAGGCTATGTTGGTTGATTTTGATATTTGATGTTTTTACACCATTGCACTAATGATTTTGTCATCTTTTATCCATGATTTCATAGCATTTGCAACATATTTTGATCATTTGAGTCTTATTTTTGTGATTAGATGTTTAGAATTAGGACATGTAGTTGTACATTTTTGTTATTGTTTTGGTTTGATTTAGGTACTTTTGGAGAAATTGAAGCTATGTAGATGGAAAAGAGAGGAGGAAGTTAACAAATGGAGGATAAGAAAGCAATAGAGAAGGGATTTGAGTAAAAAAAGGATGGATCAAAGATTGAATCAATGAAGAAGTCGCAGAACTCATATCCACGTCTCATATCTACGTCATAACCTGGATATGGGAACCAAAATTTCTACAAAAGACACATAACTCATATCCACGTCCCATATCCACGTGATGGTCGTAGATATGAAACCCAGTTTTACCAAAGACCAAGATCCGACCCAATTTAAATTGGGTTGACCCGGTTCATCTTTAATTTTGTATAAATAGATTTTTAGAGGTGTAAAAACCTAAGTTTGATTTGCTATTTACCCATTTTAGCTTTGAAACCATTTTCTTATGATTTGTGTTTGG